GCTTGTGTCAGCTGTGTCTGCAGCGACGCTTCCAAAGCACAAGGACTTTGACAGCGACATTGAGGTGGGTCTTGGTGAGCCACCGGCACCACCAGACCTGGTCGCTGCCGCAGAGCTCGAGTAAGAACGCAAGGTTTACGAGGCGCTCAAAGCGCAAGCCGACGACGCAGCAGCCCGCGCCGCATCGAACGAGTTGCGCCTCGAGAATAAGATTTTGAAGCTCCTGTCGACCATCAACGATCTCTCCGCCAGCGTCAACGCGCTCTCGTCGGACAAGTCGGCGCTCGCAAAGGCCAAGACGAAGCAAGCTTCACTCGCTTCGTCAACGTCACCGCAAGCAGGACAAACCACACACACGGCGGCTGCGCACTGCGTCTTCGTACTTGTCTCGGAACTCGGCCCCTTGGCTGCGAGGGTGGCAGTGGCATCGGCCAGTGCCTTCTCGTGGTCGGCCGAGAGGCGGCGTGCGACGTCTGATGCGCTGTCACAAAATCGGATTGCAGAGCAGAGACTTCTTGCTCGTGCTGCGCGGCCTGCACCTTGAGTGTCTTTTCGTGCTCGGCGCTGAGAGCTCGGAGATCGTCTTGGTGGTCGACATGCGTGGTCGTCCGTTGCTCCTGCAGCTGCATATAGCAGGCGCAACGTTCGTCACCGGTGTGCGACGCTGCGCGGCGGTGGTTGAGCTGCGGCTGCTCGCCGTCAGTGGTTATCTTCCCGTCGTCGCGGGCGCTGGCGTCGACCGAATAGTCGGTCGCACGCTGGCGGACAATCGTCGGGGTCGTGCTGCGCCCGAACGCGGTGGTACGCGAACCTTGGTTCGTGGCCGCTGTCGACTTTGGCTTACGCATGAGGGCATCTTGGGCTGCCAACTTGGTATCGGCGAGCTTTGCAGCGCGCTCTGGTGGTAGAGCGGGTCGTAGAGGGACATGCGATTTCGATTTCTGCGGCACCGAGATCACTCGCGCCGCGCCATCTCGGAGCTTGAGATGCAGCTGCAGGAGCAACAGACGACCACGCATGTCGACCACCAAGACGATCTCCGAGCTCTCAGCGCCGAGCACGAGAAGACACTCAAGGTGCAGGCCGCGCAGCACGAGCAAGAAGTCTCTGCTCTGCAATCCGATTTTGTGACAGCGCATCAGACGTCAGCGAACGTCGCACGCCGCCTCTCGGCCGACCACGAGAGGGCGCTGGCCGATGTTACTGTCACCCTCGCAGCCAAGTGCGCCGGCATGCAGCCGCTCACCGCCGAGGGCTGTAAAGGCGTTCAAGCCATCGCCGCGCTGCGTGCACTTGGTGTTTGTATCGCACGCTGGAGAAGCGTGACCTGCGACGCTGCGTCCTGTCAATAGCGTGCGAGGCGGCGCGCTTTTGTACTCTCCGCGGCTGCATCGCTCTCGTCGTGCTGGCTGCCGCTCGTCGCTTAGCCGCCTCCAAACGTCAATGGCATCTGAAAAGATTCGGAAGGCGTTAATTGCCCCGATATAAAGTATTTCCATACCAGAATAGATTGTAGCGTGTTAATATTCCCTGACGTGGCACCCTGTCAGTGCGGAAGGATTGTCGCCACAGCATTTGTGGCTGGCGATTCTCAGTCTCTCTGCGACGAGTACAGTACTGCTCTTGTAGCTAGCTACACGAAACAGGTAACTCGTGGGCTAGGCCAACGTGCGCCGCCTCTAAAGAGAGAACGACGACGCATTCTGCTCGAAGTTCAAGATGCTCCTCCGCGCATCCGTCGAGGTGCTCTCGTAGCCACGGGGTCATGCGCCAGCTCCATGCTATCGACCGCACATTGAGGGCTTTGCGTGTCCAAGTTGTAGACATATTCCTTGGACGAAAATTGTTCCTACAGGGCCATGCGGTTGGCGTCGCCGCCTAGCATACCTGCTCCGTGTCGTCGCCGGAGAGGCCGCGGATGCGCTCCTCGAAGACCGTGTCGTCCTATGACGGAACCTCGCCCTGGAGGTTGACCTCGAACGTCTTGTTCCTAACCGCGCTCATGCTGCTGCTCGACTCGTGTCATGTTCGGCTGGCAATGGCCTCTGGTAGTTTATTCAAATGTAAAATTCAACATTCGGGTTCCAGCTACGGTCGTCGACGTTGGTTGTCGTGACCTAAGCGTACGTTGTGGAAAGACGCTGCACAACCGTCCACATAGTACCTGGTGCTCACGCACAGCGCGACCGGTCGATAGCACGACGAGCGCGTCGACGCGGGCGCCCCAGCTATTGAGCGGCTGCGTCGTTCTCAAGGCGTCGAGAAAGGTTTGGATGGTGGCGGCGTCGCCGTCCAGTGTCATCTCGACCGTGTCGCGTGACGGCGTCTTGAGGTTCGTCGCGCCGCCGGCGATGCCCCGCTTGGTCATGGCGCGGATGATCGTCTGGCGGAACATGACCTGCTGCACGTTGCCCGTCGCCTTGGCGTGCACGACCACCATCGCGTCTCCGGATACAAACGGTCGATTGGACCGGATGACGGAAACCGCTTCGCCAGATGGTAGTGTAGTCGGACGATCTTGGCTCCGGGACGAACGACGACCTTTGAGCTCTCGGGTCTCCTCGTGACAGCGTCGCAGGTGGAGAGGACCGAGCACGTCGTCTATGAACGGAGTCGCTCCATGGGCACAAGTCGAGCAACACCAGCACTGCGAGTCAATAAGAACGTATTCGTGGCCAGCACCTGGGACTACTAGTAGGCCAAAGCAGCGAGCGCCAACAAAGACGTCGGGTGTGACCATTCGGCTCGACCACGCTTTGGTTCTCCCTTGTGGTCTCCAAGTACTCTGCGTGAAGGGTCGAGAGAATGCCTCCGTGGTCGAACATATGCAGGAAGTCAAGAGCGTTGAAATGCGGGTCGTTGGATTAGTTCTGGTCGACCGCCGTCGCTACATGAGGTGTTTCGACTGCCATGTACCAGCTTACTCCTACCACTAGTCTGGTATCGAACCTTGTCCCAAGGATGCGGGCAGCACTGCATGGAGCGCACTGATACCTCGAGGCGAGAGTCGTAGCCTAGGCAATTGAAAGTACGTATGTGCAACGACGCTGCGTCCACGCAGAGAGGACGGATGCAATGTATGAAATGTGTGCCAGTCCGAGACGACTTGTCTTGATGATGATGTCACGCTTTGTAGCGATCTTCGGTCGCCGAACTGGCGTGTTGAGGTGACCCATATGCCAGAATGTAGGTTTTCCTGGTTTTAGACATGGCTTTCAAGGACCCTGCGTCGCATTGAAATAAAAACCACGTTTAAGGTTAACGAATCGCATGTTTTAACGTATCGGCATAGGACACGAATTCTACCTGGCTTGAAGGACACGTTCTTTGGACGCCGGCCCGGGCCAATCGGCGCAAGTCTCCAACTTGGCCGCTGCCAGCCACGTCCTCGACCTCGTCCTCGTCCTCGTGCGACGGAGGCCGCCGGCGTCGGAACATATCCACTCTACCTACCGTAACCACAGGACCTCGCAGCATGGCCTTTGTCGTCACTGCCACCGACGCGCTGAAAATAGCCTGCGAAACCACGCCCATGACACACGAGCGCCAGCCCCGGGCCGGCCGGCCGCGCCGCAAACCCGCCGCCGACCGAGACAACCAAGCCGACGCCGGCCTCGCAAACGACTTGGCATCGCTCAAGGTATCGCCGTCGTCGTCGACGTCGACAGCGTCCTCGACTGCCTCGACTTCAACCTCATCCAAGAAGCCGGGCAAGAAGCGTCCGCCCAAGGCGAAGGCCAATGCAGACGACGCGCCGCCAGTCGCGCGCGCCCTCAACGCCAATGAAATGATGCTCATGCAATCGCTCATGGGCGGCTTTGGTGCCAGCTCTACCGCTGGCGACAACAACAACAACAACAACAGCCACAGCACGGACGACGACGAGCAGCAACCCGCACTCGAAGCCGCGGCCAAGCCACCGAGCAAGAAGGCCGCCAAGTCGTCGTCGGACCCCGTTGACAAGCGCGATTTCCTCTTTAGCGGGCTCCCCGTCGCTGTGCGCAGCCAGCTACAACTCGACGACGTGGCCCAGTACAGCGTGACGGACATGAAGACCGCCGCGCGCATCTCGCACTTCATCATGACGCTGCCGGGCTTGACGCCCAACAGCGTCATCACGGACGCGACTGCGTGCGTCGGCGGCAACACGGCGTCGTTCTGCACCTTCTTTCGCTACGTGCAAGCCGTCGAGATTGATCCGACGCGCTTCCGCATGCTCGTCCACAACATGCACGGCGTACTCACCTTTGTCAACATCCAGTGCTACTGCGCCAACTACGTCGACGTCGCGCAGCAGTTCCTTCAAGACGTCGTCTTCATCGACCCGCCGTGGGGCGGCCCCGAGTACCGGACGCGGTCGACGGTCGACTTGCACCTTGGCGAGACACCGCTCGCCGACCTCTGCGAGCGCCTCGTCGGCCGCACGCAGTATGTGGTCATCAAGGTGCCGCAGAACTTTGACATCGAGCGCTTTACGTTCCGCGTCTCGGGCACCGTCAGCTACATTACCCACTTTCGCAAGATGGCCATGGTCGTCGTCGACTACCGCTTTGTCACGGACGCAGACGGCAACAATGCGGCGCCTGAGGATGGCAACCATGCGGCGACTGAGGAAGGCGACGGCAACAACGCCCCGGACGCTGCGCAGGACACGTAGCATGGTGTGTAAGCCGAGCAATTCGAACGCCTGTATCTCTTTGCCACTTGGCTCTAGACGCAGAACTGTAGGATTTGATTGCAGGCACTTGCGTGTGATCAAACTGCCTGCACGATCGCATCTCGGCGGACGAGCGTGCCACGTCATTTGGACCATTGTTGTGCAAACTCGAGTATCCATGGAATACTGCCACCAACAAATGGCCCGCCGTGACCGCAATGACGGCGATGGCACGCGGTGTCATGACGAAGGTCGCATGACGCCACGTGCTGTCCGCGTCCGTTCTAAGTGTCTATCAACGTCGAGCGCCTCGTCCATCGCAGCAGCTTAGACCAAGGTAGAAGCAAAACGGAGAATTTGTATCAGCACAAGAAGCATCGCTCGCTAAAACGACCATTGGTTGGCGTAGTACGAGTGGCGCTGCTGCGGGTCGCTGAGGAGGCGTTTGAGTGTGCCCACGAGGTTGGCGAGCAAGAACGCGTCAAAGTCCGAGAGCACGCAGCGCTGGGGGTAAATGGCGTAGCCCGCCAGCTGGAGCAGCTTGAGCGTCGAGGGGTACGCCTGGAGCACGGCCGCAAACGCATGGTCCGATCGGTTCAGAACGCAAAAGTCCGACTCTTCGCGGTGCGACAGGAGCGACGAGAAGGTCGTCACGAGCGCCTGCAGGATCGCGATGCGCTCCGGGGTGCTCGGACACTCGGCCTCGAGCTGCGCGAACGCTCGGTGCGCGAGGCTGGCTTGGATGTCGCCGCCGCTCTCGTCGAGCTTGGCCGTCTGCGATCGCATCGCGTTGGCGGCCACCGGCGGCGGGGACGGCGCCCACACGGCCTTGGGACCCGACTGGCTCTGTGTCGGTCGCAGTCGCCGGCTCGCGTGCGGCAGCGACGGTGGCGGCGGTGGCAGCGGCGCCGACGTCGGCTCCTTCCAGAGACTGCTGCTCACCGTGCTCATGGCTGCTTCGCTCGACCGCAGGGCGGCCTGCCGCGCGAGCAACGACGCTTTCATGGACGCCGGCATCGGTGGCGGGAGGTGCCGACTTGCCGACGTCGGCGGTTTGCTCGGCGGGTCGACCACGATCGGTGTCGGGCGTTCCATCGTCAGAAACTCGGTGCCAATCTCGCTGATGGCCAAGTCGTCGTCGTCGAGGTCGTGATTGACGTTCAGCTCGAGATGAAAGTCACTGAGATCGTCGCGAGCGTCGGCCGTCGATAGCTGCAGTTGCTGCAGGAGCTGGTGGTAGTTTTGAGGGGCAAACGGACACTCGGTGTCGTCGGTCGCGCTCGTCTTGAAGCTCGCGGTCGACGCTTCGTCGTCGACGTCGCTGCTGTCATAGAGCGGAAACGCGTACGGGTGACCCGGCGGGTCCTCGGGCGCGGGCTCGGACGACGACGACGACGAGGCTGGCGACGGCACGGGTGGCATGGCCGGCCATCGTTGCATCTCACGCTCGCGGCTCGAGACGCTCGACTGGATCGCGAGCTGCGTCGCCTTGATGCGCTGGGTAATCTCCGCCATCGCGTGCTCAAGCGATGGTGGCTCGGCGCGCTAAGAGGTACGAGCGACCGCATGAGATCGTGTCGTGAGAATGGCCAAGCTCTCTACCTCAAAGGTATCGCGCAGCGGGCGCGGGTGGGCGAGGCGGCGCACGGGCGCCGCTTGATTGTCATCGTCGTCCTTGCCATCATCAAGGTCATTGTCATCGAGGTCGCCCATGGACGCCGAGCGCTGCGACCGCGTCCGTCTCGTGACGGGCGACCGCACCGTCGACGTCGACGACCGCCGGTACGCGAGTCGTTGCGGCGTCACGGGTGGAGGCGCCAACGACGCCCCGTCGTCCGTGTACACGGACGACTCGAGCACCGAGTCGGAGAGCGGTCGGTGCACCACACCGTGGGCGCGGGCGTAGCAGACGTTGCAGATGCGGACGCGATTCGGTCCCGCCGTCGGCGTCTCGACTTCGCGGTACGGCGCGCAGCTCGCGCAGACCACTATGCCATCGTCGTATCTTGGCGCTTTGATGTGCAATATTGTACCTTCGCCGCACTGGCGGCAGTGATGACGCCGGCGAAACATAAAGTTGCGCATGCACACGCTGCACGTCTTGCGGTCTTCGTCGCGCACCCAGCGCCAGCGCTCGACGAACGGCAATTTCCCGAGCCGGCCGCGCTCCAAGTAGCTCTGCAGGCCTCGAATCGCCGTCACCTAATGCAGTTGATACTTTGATAGTACGTTGCAAGCGCGATGGCACGGACCCGCCGGCGCATGACGTCTTCATAGTCAGCACCGCCGCTCGCGCCCATGATCGTCGCGCTCTGCACTTGGCAGAACGACGTGACACGGACGTGGCCGTCACGGTCCGTGGGCGCGATGAGGATGCCGGTGCGCAGGAACGCGTCGCGCGTGAGGCCGTACGGGCCAAAGTCGGGCACTTCGCCGTCCATGGCGACGGACTGCTGGATGCAAAAGCCAAGCAGCGAGTTACTCTCTTTGCGAATGCCAGCGTACTCGAGGAAGCAAAAGTCGCTGCCACGGCCGCCCTGCAGATTGCGCGCCGCCAGCGCACACCATTTCAAGCTCGTGTAAAAGTAGTTGGGGCGATGGAGCTTCTTGCGCGGCAGCGTGTGGAGGCAGTAGCCGTCGAGAAAGTCGTGGCCGTACACGCTCTTCATCATGCGCCGGTAGTCGTCCGTCTTGGGGACCGCCAGCACCGACATGACTTCGGGCACGCTCGCCTGGAGCACGACGGACGCGCGGTACAGAACACAGGCGTGCGCGCGCTGCGAGTTGGCCTCGAGGTCCACAAAGTGCGCCTTGAGGACATGGCAGCCGTCCGCTGTTTGGCCCTACGGCGTCGTCAGCATCAGCATCCTGCGTCGTCGGTCGGTAAGTCCTTACCTCGCACGGCGTCCAGCTGAGCGTCTGCGTCTGCCGGCCATAGAGAAGGTCCGTCATCAGCCGGAGCTTGTCCTTGGCGAGCCGCCGCAGGTGCAGCTCGTCCGCGTCGTCGAGGTGCACGGGCGGGAAGAACTTGTTGGGCACCGGCAGCTCGAGCATCTCACCAAGTGCAATGTCAGCAGCCTGTCTCCAGCTGGCCTGTCTCTGCAAAAAAATGAAAACAAAAAAAATGAATCCCAGACCCCGGGGCACCGGCGCAAGCTGCTGCTTGATAAGCTACGGAACCCTGATTCCCTTTTGACGCGCCTCATCCACGCAGCAGCCGATCCACGCGGCTAGCGTCTGTTCTCGGTCATACAAGCAGAGTCTCGGTCATAGACAGTGCGCCCGGTCTCGACCAGATCCAACACGTGGTAGAATACAAGTTGTTGGCAGAATAGATATGGACACTAAATAGCTGGCGGCATTAGCACGGCACGGCGCGGGGCGCTGCACCGAGCCAGGACGAGGAAGGTTCTTGGGGTAGAGCGGTCGCTGCGCGGACGATCGCGTAGATGTGCGGCTGCAGCGTCGGGGAAGGCGTCGCAGAGCGTCTCGAGGTGCTGGCGCCCCGCCGCAATGTGATCGGGCCGCAGCCACATGCGCACAAGAGGCTCGAGGAGCGCGATCGCGCTGGGTTGCCACGCATGGTTTCTCAGCGCGTGGTGCAAAAGAGCTTTCTGCGACGCTGGCGCCTCGAGCCGCCACATGCGCTCGTCGTGCAAGACAGACGCCACGCAGCACCAAACGCTCGTCGTCTCCGCGGCCCGCGCCACGTGGAGCAGCGCCGTGTACTGGTCGAGGCAGGCCGCACTGCTTGCCGCGTCTTTGGCGGCGGCGTGCAGAGCGTCGAGCAGCGACGGCGCCGTGGCTGCCACGGCGGGCGCTGGTTTGGCCATTTTGCGCACACGCTGGACGACTTGCTTGCTAAACTCCATGCCCATGGACGCTGCGACGACGGACCGGACAGTGCCAAGCGCCTTTTGCGTCGCCAGCGAGACGGCCATGGCCTTTACGCGTGCGTCCATCGCCGGCGAGAGGAGCGACTCGAGCGCGCGCGGGATGTGTTCTTGGCAGTACGGCTCGGCGGCCGCGATGGCCTTGGTGCACGCATCGAGCTTGGCTTGGCCGACGTAGCGCCGGACAACTGCCGTGATCTTCTCGGCCGTCGTCTCGTCGTGCGTCACGCGCAAGGCGATCGTGTCCATAAACGCGTTGGCCGACGGCACGACGACGGACGGGCCCACGAGCTGGCACACGTTGGTCATGCTCGTGTCCACGACAAACTCGATCGTTGTCTGCAGCGACGGATACTGCTTGTAGAAGGCGCGTGTGAGCGGGTCGTCCGCCATGGTCGGTGTCGCTTCGTCTTGGTCCTGGTCGTCGTCGTCGACATTCTTGAGCAACGAGAGAGTGAGCGGGCGCACTTTGAGGCGGCGCGTCGTCGTCGGCTTGGCCGGGCCCTGCGTCAGCGTCGCTTGGAGCTGGAGGAGGAACGCACGGAGGGACGGGACGTCGGGCACGCAGTGGGCCAGAAACATCGAGCTCGCGAGGTACGGGATGGCGTCCAGACCCGACATTGGCGCGTCCAGCGCGATAGTCAAGCTATCGGTGAGCGGGAGACTGTCCAACACCGACGGCTGCAGACTCAGGCGCGTGCTCGCGGTTTGCAGAAAGGCTTCGAGCTGCAGCCGAAGCAAGAGCCCGTTCTCGGACCGACAGCTCTCGAGGCGTGGCGAGAAGAAGAGCGCACGGACGTGGGCGACCGCCGACTGCACATACCTCGTGGCACACGCGATCGGATCGCGCAGAATGAGAATGCGAAGGTACTCGAGCAGCCACGGCAGCGACGCCATGAGCGTGTGTTCACTGACGCACCGACCAAGCGCGGCGCATACATCGAGCGGCGCGCGGACTCGGTTGCGCATATCGATCGCTTGCTTGCGGGCGCACTCGATCGCCACGTTCGTGGGCGCGCCAAGGCTGTTGACGTACGGGGCGACATGGACATAGGCGAGAAACCGCGCGAGAAGACGAGCCTGGAGCGCGTGCAGCGTAAACGTCTTGCGGATGGAGGACGAGGATGAGGACGACGACGAGCCTTCGAGTTCGAAGAGCTGGGCTTCGAGGACGGTGGCGACGAGGCGCGTGAAGAGGGCGTGGTTGGTCGTCTCGAGGAACTGCGCAAAGAAGAGCTGGTTCTCGGGGAAGAGCTCGGCCATGTCGCTTGACGCAGTGGCCGATGTGTGCAATGATGACGAGGGCGATGGCGATGACGATGATGTGGAGGAGGACGACGGCCCTTTGTTGGTCGCAAACTTGGTGCTGTGGGCGGACGGTCCGAGCTTGGCTTTCGGTGCTTGCTGGGACGTAAAGCGCTGGTGCAGCTTCCGGAGGCGATCCGGGTTCTTGAGCTTGTCGTCGTGCATGATCTTTTCCACGAGGTCCACGTCGTGCTCGCCGACCGGGTTGATACCGACTTGACACAATTCTTGGACGAAAAACTGCGCAAACCACCAGAGGTTGTTTGCGCTCACATCGTCGAGGACCGACGCCATTTCGTTGCGCAACGACGCGACGTGGCACACTTCAATGGACGTCCGCTGCCTCTGCCACTGCCGCAGCAGCGACAAGAACGCATCGCGCGCCTTCTCGCGGTTGCTAAAGAGGACGGCTTCGGCCGGCGACCGAAAGTGCAAGCGCGAGTCCGTGTCTTCGCAGAACGGGACGGCAAAGTCCCGAGCCGAGTGGCCGACGACCTCGATCGGCAGCGAGGTGCCCACCGCTTGGCTCGCCACCGAGCGCGCGTCTTCGTACGCCTCGAGGTACTGGAGAAACCGGATCTGGAGCGACCGCGCGACGTGCAAGGCCGCAAACGTGTCCACCGCGAGCTTGAGGATCTCGGGCCCGAAGAGCTCGAGTGTCTCGGGGATCGTGTAGAACACGGCCAGCGCAAACTCCTTGGCCTCGGACGCGTCGTGCTGCAGGAGTGTAAAGAGCCATTGGACTTCGTGTGCTGAGAGCGGCACGAGCTGCGCTTGGAAGAGAAAGCTGTAGAAGAGAGCCATGGGCGTCGGCGCGACCATGGGCTCGAGCTCCTCCGCGGGTTCGTCATACATCTCGGATGGCATCTCGTGGTCGTGGTTGCTCTTGTGGTTGTTGTTGTTGCTGCTGTTGTTGTTGATGGAGGCGGCGGCAACGGGATGGTTGTGCTGCGGCGCGTCTTGTGGCTGACGTGGAGCGATCGTCGTCTGGATTGGCGCGGGCTTGTGCGTGACGCTCGTCAGGCGCGTCTCAAACTTGGACAAGACATCGTTGTTCATCTGGGACGGAAGGTGCGACTTTTCGACGGGCGTCGACGTAAAGATCGACGACGATGACGACGACGGTGTCGAGACGAGCGACGGCGTCGCCACGAGCGTCGACCGGATGCGCCGCTTGTCCTTTTGCACCTTGGGTTTGGACGCCATGATGTGCACAGTGGCGGTCGACGTCGTGGGTGCATTTAGCGGTGGAAAGTCATGGTTGGACCATACCGGTGTCTCATTTTGCGTGAGCGAGATGCGCTTCTTGGTCGGTGGCACGTTCACAGGCGCCGGCGTCGCCTCGATAGGCGTCGTGTCGGGCGTCTTGAAGTGGCTGCGGAGGTAGTTGAGGTACGCAAACACGAGCTGCTGCGGCGTCAGCGCGCGGACGTGGCGCGCGTCCAGCTCGAGCGCTTTGGCCAGCGACGCCGATGGCTCGAGCTTGGTCGCCGTCGCGTGCATGTCCGAGACGGCGTTCTTGCGCAGCCAGCCCTCGAGCACATGGCGCTGGTCAGCCTTGCATGCTGCCCAGACCGCGGGCCCCAGCACGTCCTCGATCGTTCCCAACTCGGTTGAAATCGGACATCGGACGCGAGAGTTGCGAAATATGTAAATTTGAATTCTTCGATCGGCTCAACCGGACGCTATCCGGACACTGGCTGCGGCCCAAAATTCAAATTTCGAGATTTGGCGCGCCTTCTGCCCAGCTGGCAGCGTGGCCCGAGTGGCTCTGGAAGCCTGCGACAAGCCCGTTGCCGGCGACGACCGAGGCGCCATGCATGCCAGTACCTGGTAGCTCCATGGTACTAGCGACTGTTATTACCCTTAGCTTTTTCTACGCGGTCGGCTACTACCGACGTCGTACGAGGTGTGCTGGTTCAGAAGCGTTGTTGCCGTGGGCAGCCCACCATCGCCTAAAGCACCGTCGTCGTCCAGCGATTGCAAGTCCATGTTGTTGTTGTTTCTGGCGCATGTACGGCATCGTCTTGACGCAGAGACGATGGGAGAGAGATGTCTGTACATGGCAATCGTCGTGCAAGCTGTATCAGGACGGTTTCCTGTGGCCGTGCTACATAACGATCCGAATCAAGCTACACCGTATAGGACCCCGCTTGCCTCACCGCTGTACGATCTCGTTTGCGTTGCCTCATGGCAGTGTCCAGAAAGCCATGGCAGCGATGCTGAGGCAACCATCGGCGAGCTGCGTTTCACTCGACGTGACGTGGCCGACATGACATGTACGCCGCCAAGCCGAGGTTGAGACATCGCTTGCCGATCCCGGACGGTGCACAATCCGACGACGGCAACCAAGATCCTTGCCAACTATCCAATCGCATCTATCCAAAAGGACCGATCCCGCAGCGCCAAAAGAATCCAAGACTCCAATATCCAATTAGTACTAATACATGTATTGCCACCTACTCAAACACGAGGGCCTCGATACCCGAATCCACCGCCTTCTTGGTCGTGACGCGGACGGTGTCGCCGGCCTTGTAGCTGCCCACCAAGATGCGCTTCGAGAGCGGCGTGAGCACGTGCTTGTGGATCACGCGCTTGAGCGGGCGCGCGCCGTACATGGGACTGTACCCTTCGTCCGCGAGCCACTGCTTGGCGTCGTCCGAGACAACGAGCGAGAGCTCGCGTTCTTCGAGGAGCCCGCGCACTTCGTTCAGCTGCAAGTCGACAATCGACCGAATCTGACTGCGCCCAAGGCGGTTGAAGAGCACGGTCTCGTCGATCCGGTTCAAAAACTCTGGTGCGTAGTGCTGTCGGACCACATGGAGGACGTCGGCTTCCGCATCGACGCTCGGGGCACCCTATGCAGCACACTTTTTATCAATGACCTCAACCAACATCCAGCGGCGTACCTCGGGCAAGGTTGCCAGCAGCTCCGACCCGAGGTTGCTCGTGCAAATGATGACGGTGTTCCGAAAGTCCACGAGGCGCCCTTGCGAGTCGGTGAGGCGGCCTTCGTCAAACACTTGCAGGAGGAGGTTGGACACGTCCCGATGGGCTTTCTCAAACTCGTCAAAGAGCACGACTTGGTACGGCCGCCGGCGCACGGCCTCGGTGAGCGCGCCGCCTTCTTCGTAGCCAACGTAGCCGGGCGGCGCGCCAATGAGCCGCGACACCGAGTGCTTCTCCATGTACTCGGACATGTCGATGCGCGTGAGCGCCGACGGGTCCTGGAAGAGAAACTCGACCAGCGCTTTCGTCAGCTCCGTCTTGCCGACGCCGGTGGGCCCGAGGAAGAGAAAGACGCCGAGCGGCCGCGTGTGCGAGTGGAGACCGGCGCGCGCGAGCCGAATGCAGTCGCTGACCGCGGTCACCGCGTCGGCTTGGCCAACCACGCGCGCGCCCAGCGACGCTTCCATCTCCAGCAGCCGCTTCTTCTCCCCGACAAGAGGTTGGCGACTGGAATGCCCGTGGCTTTGGCCACCACGGCCGCAATGTGGTCGGCCGTGACGGCGTCGCCAAGCAGTAGCTTCGGGTTGGACGGCGACACCTCGGCTTCGGCCACGTCGTCGGCCTCCGACTCGGCTTCGAGGCGCGGAATCACGCCGTGCTTGAGCTCCCCGGCGCGGGCAAAGTCGCCGCGGCGCTGGGCCATTTCAAGCTCGCGACGGGCTTCCTCGAGCCGCTTCTTGGTCGACTTGAGGCTGTCGAGGCGCGTCTTCTCTTCTTGCCACTCGGTCGTGAGCTCGGCGAGCTCGCCTTCCATCGCGGCGAGGTCCGCGTCAACGATCGCCTTTTGCTTGGTCGACGCCGCGTCGTCTTCGTGGCGCAACGCTTCCTTCTCGATCTTGCGCATGATGATGCGGCGCTCGAGGTGCTCGATGGCTTCCGGTTTGGACTCTTGCTCGAGGCGCAGGCGCGACGCTGCTTCGTCGACGAGGTCGATGGCCTTGTCGGGCATCTTGCGGTCAGCAATGTACCTATGCATACGCGTAAGAAGAGAAGGAAGAAGACAAGATGAACGCACCGATGGGCGAGGTGCGCGGCCTGGACGAGCGCGTTGTCGGCGATGCGGACGCCGTGGTGCACCTCGTACTTCTCCTTGAGGCCGCGCAGGATCGTGACCGTCGCTTCGACCGACGGCTCGGTGACCAGCACCGACTGGAACCGGCGAGCCAGCGCCGCATCCTTCTCAATGTACTTGCCTACAGCAAGATGATCACGATCTCTTTTCTCGTGGATATATTGGCGTCGTCGTACGGTATTCGTCGAGCGTCGTGGCGCCCATGCAGTGAAGCGACCCGCGAGCGAGCGCAGGCTTGAGCATGTTGGCCGCGTCCATCGTGCCGTCGCCACCGCCCGCGCCCATGAGCATGTGCAGTTCGTCAATGAACAAAATGACGTCGCCGTTGCTGCCTTCGACGTCCTTGAGCACGCCCTTGAGGCGCTCTTCAAACTCGCCGCGAAACTTGGCGCCGGCAACGAGCGCGGCCAAGTCGAGCGCGACGACGCTCTTCTTCTTCATGCTCTCGGGCACCTCGCCGGACGCAATCCGCTGCGCAAGGCCCTCGGCGATCGCAGTCTTGCCAACACCGGGCTCGCCGATCAAAACCGGGTTGTTCTTGGTCCGGCGCGAGAGCACCTGCACCGCACGGCGGATCTCGTCTTCGCGGCCAATGACCGGGTCCAGCTTGCCGTCGCGGGCCATGACGGTGAGGTCGCGGCCGTACTTGGCGAGGCTCTCGCCCTGCGGCACGTTCTCCGGGTTGACCCACGAGGCAAGGCCTCGGTAGACGACGCCATGGCGGTGCATAGGCACAAGGCGGCGCGCGAGGAGTCGTGTCGACAGCATCTGTGTATTCTGCGGCCACTTTGAATCTGACCGCACTTGTGGTTGAAGCCGTCGCAAACTCAATTTCGCCCGTTTTGAGTTTCGAGCATTCGAGAATGCGATCGAAATCCCTCGGCCGTCTAAACACACGCAACTTGCAGTGCCATCGCAAAGACATGGCAAGCCGGCAAGCCATCCATAGCAGCAGCGTCCCACATGCCAACGTATCGTAGTACGTTCCAGTAGCGGCTGCAGTTCCCACCAGCCTAGTCTAGGTTTGAAAGAAACTTTAATGAAGATTTTCGACTTACGGTACTAGAGTGCTTACGTAGGCCGTACACTTGGTATACTTCAACACCACCAATGTCCACGTACTTGAGTATGTATTACTAGTGTTTACGGACGGCCACTGTTAAATATCGTCTGCGCAGTCTGTGGCAACCTTGATTGACATCTCAGCGCAGGAACGGATGCGCGAGCAGCTCGGTCGCCGTTGCGCGCTCTACACAGCACAACACAGGATGAGGTCGTGCATCCCGTCCTTTCGTCTCGAGAGGACCCCGCGCATCGATGCAGAAGCAGCGCGCCAAGAACGCTTTGGCCAGTGGCGGCAAGTCGGCGGGAATCGGCGGGCTAGACGGCTTGACCGCCAAGTGGTACATGACCGACAAGTGGTTCGTATTCGCGGGCCACGGGTGGTGCGCGGTCGCCATCTCGAGCACGGTCGCACCGACGCTCCAAATATCGGCCTTGCAGTCATGGCCCGTTTGCTGGACGACTACGCGCATTTAGCATCGTATGATCTTACCACGTAGCAAGCGAATGTGCCCTCTACCTTCGGGCGCCATCCACGGGACCGACCCGCGGATCGACCGCAAGCTCTCCTCCAAGCTGTCGGTCGTCGTCGTGGATGGCACTTGCTTGGAGCAGCCAAAGTCGGCGAGCTTGGCTTGTCCATGCTCATTGACCAAGACGTTGGCGCCTACGCTAGCATCAGACGCAACCAACTCGACGATGAAGGATTGACGGACCTTTGATGTCGCGGTGGATGATGCCTTTGCTGTGGAGGTACGCGACCCCCTCGAGGATTTGGCGCGTAAACTTTTGGATCATTTCGACGCCAAACACGCCAAACTGCGCCAACATGCTACGCAAAATGATAAAGGGCCTGGGTGTCAAATCGCTCGCACGACCCACCTCGCAATCGATCCGTTGGGGACGTACTCCATAAAGATGTAGAAATGCAAGTCGTCGCGGTCCGTGCCTTGGTAGCGCACAATGTGCACGTGCTGCAGCTCCTTCATGACGGCGATTTCTTCGCCGAGCTTGGCCAATTTTTTCTTGTCGTCGTCGTCGTCGGTCCCGATACCGAGATCGATGGCTTTGACCGCGAAGAGCTCGCCCGTCTTGCAGTTGAGTCCTTTATAGACTTTGCCAAACGTGCCCTCGCCAATGAGCTCGCCCTTCTTCCACTCGATGCGCGACCGGTGCCACGGCAACGACGTCGCCTTCCGAAACACCGGCGACTTGGAGAGCTGCAAGTCAAGCTTGGTCGTAAACGGCGAGAGAAGCGCCAGTGGCGAGAGCGACGCAGTGAGCGTGGGCACTGCCTTCTCGCCCGACAAGCGCAATGGACGACCGTACCCTTGCCGCTCGTGGGCGACGATGGACGGCGCATCGTCGTCGTTCTCGTCGTCGAGTTCGGGCTTGGCGCTGTCGAGCGAGTTGCCGCGCGGGCGGGTCGGCGCTTTGGGTGTGATGGCATGCGTGGCGCCTCGGGGCGCTTCTCGGATGCGGCCGAGGCGTAGTCGCTCATGCGGCTGCTTCTCGTCGAGGGCGGCGATTGACGACGACGACGGTGGCGACGTGATGTGGCCATCGTCCCCTTGGTTGTCGGTGGCGGCTCCGCGCGGGCGGCGAGGCGATAAGGAAGGGCGCAGCTGTATATCGTCGTCTCTCATTCTTGCTTGGGCTTAGGCGTGCGCGTTCATAGAGCTCTTCTGCACACCGTCGCCTTGCTGCTTGTCCGTCTCCGGTTCCACGCGCCCCTTGAAGATTGCTGAGTCCCGTTTCCACTTTCACCCGACGCGTCGGGTAGGAAATCCATTCGACGGTAATGCAGGCTTCGACCTTTTTCAGGCATCCTTGGAATACCCGTAATACAGTACTGCGGCACTGCGGTCGCCTATATGCGCTAGGACCGACGTCTGCTTCTGTCTACCATACACCTTCCTGCTAGTAGTACAGTGGAATACATCATCCGTGAATGCGGCGTGGCGACCTGTCGTGGGCCGGTTGGGCACCCGACGCCATTTTCTAAGCGACAAGTGAGCTGGTCCTACGGCGCCTTGAAGCAATTCGTACCTGTGTACGTACGTTGCTGCCAGCGTATCAGGACGCGGTGCGTCGCGACGACTCGTGGCGCTGCATCGAATCATGGCGCTCAACTATTGCATGAGGCGTGGCCAGCTGGTTGCCTTGTCGGGTAGGAACGCCGGGTCATGGAAAACCCCCAAAGCCGAATGGCATCCACGCCCGTGTGCTT